CCCCCTAGAAGGCCCTGTACTAAATGCTTCATGAACATTTCCTCACTTAATCCTCAGGACTATCCCATAAAGTCAGTGTTATCATGTCCATCTTACAGATGAGAAAACTAAGGCTTGGCATAGAGATACTTAACCACTTGCCCAAGAACACAAAGCTAGCGTGGTGCTAGGATTGGAATTTGTCTGCCCTTTCTAGAAAACAGGGTGACAGAAAGCCCATCTGGGGCTACAGAAAGGATCACCGGAGACAACACAGGATGAGGTGCTTTAGGGACTGCCATACAAAGGCCAGACCCCATTATTACGACCAGAGAAGTCAGGCACCTTGCTAACGTCATACAGTCAGGGACCAAAATCGCAGTACCAGGATCTATATAGTGTGGGTTTCAACTATGACCTGCCTCCTCTTCTAAGAACGAGGGGTTGGACAAGGTGATCTCCAGGGGCCAGTTGCCTCCAGCCTCCAGCCTGCGTGCTTCCCCACAGGAGGCCAGACCACCACCAGGCCCCTAGTATGCTGGCTGGGATGGCAGGGGAAACCATCACCACTCCCTTTGCCCAATTCAAACTGGCAGGACCTCACTGCAAGGAGGGCAGTAGAGCGTGGGAGGGTGGATGGCAGAGATGGCACTGGGCACCTTGATAGGAGGCCTCGCTGCCTGGACAGGGTGGAGCTGCAGAGCCAGAGAGGCAGCTCTAGTCCTAGCTCTGCCACTCAACAGCTGAACAGTCATTTAAAGAAGACCCTTTCTCTGTCTGTCCCCAGGGTTCCTCCTGGCTCTGAAAAGGAAACGAGGACACTTCCTACGTCACAGGGCTAGCTGAGGATTAAGTGGAACAATGGTCAGCACAGAGCCCAGCACTTAGCAAGTGCTGGGTAATTAGCAGTTGGTAACCATCTTTGCAAATGCTGGGCGCAGCCACCTGCCACCAGAAGCCATAGGCATGTTCCCATCTCAAAAAAAAAACCAACAGTGAAAAACAAAAACTAAACCACAACCCGAAATGAGGTACAGGCCTCCAGGCCACGGTCTGAGCTCACCAACTAACAAACACCCGCTCCTCACAGGGCATGAGTGGAACACACGGAGTGGAAGTGGGGACTTAAGCCTGTCTGGTGAGCATTGGGCAAGTCATTTTGCCGCCTCAGTTTCCTCATCTTTAAGATGGGTTTCCCAGACTTGGCCAGTGTTCCTTAGGAAGAGAGCACTGAACAGTGAGTATGAGGGGTTGTGAGCCCCCCGCCCATCAACCCAATCTAATCAGTGAGGCTGCCTGCATCCCCTGAGGGAGAAGGCAGACCTGTGTGCCCACGTTCGTACCTTGTGCTGCACCTTCAATGATTCCAGGAAGGTCCAGGAGCTGGATGTTGGCTCCTTTGTACTAGGAAGCAGGAGAAAAGACGGGAAGGTGAGGATGGGACGCCACTGAGCAGAGCCTGCCTGAAGCCAGGATACCCACAATAGCCTGCAGCTAGGCACTGTAGGAAACCCGGAGTCAGCCTCCATGGCCATGTCTGAGCCTTGTTACTCACTGCAGGCTAAGGAGCCAATGGGGAGGGCTCTAGTTTTTATACTCACAACATTCATTGCTCGTGGTTACAGCTCTTTACCAATAAAGTGCTTCACTGTGAGAGGCTCAAGGCCACAGGACCCTGGCTGCCCACGGCTCTGAAGCTTCACGGGAAACAGGATCCAGCCAAGCAGCAATGAGCGACCTGAGCTGGGGTGGTGTGGGGGGTGGGGCACAAAGGGCACCAGGAGATCTGCCATTTACTGGCCTGCTTCCTGAAACCAGTCAGGACTGCAGGACGGGCCCGGCATCTCAGGGGTCTTAGCAGCCAGAACCCTAGAGGTGCCAGTGCTTGAGGGCAAAGCAGCTCAGTTCAGAGCTTTCCTCCACAGGGACACTCGCCCCCCTCGCCATCACCCCCCAACACACACATACCCCATGCATGTATGACACACATATACACAATCGCAAACACAAGCATACACCTTTTCCCCTCCTGGGACCCAGCAAACCCCACTTACTTCAATGACCCCAGGGATACACGTCAGGGTTGTGAACTCATAGGATGCAGCTTCACTGGCGGTGGAGGTCATGAGGCTCAGGAAGGTAGACTAGGAGAAAAGGCAGTCGTTGCATTGAGAAGTCTTGTCCTGGCCTCCTTGGAGAGGTCCAGTGGGCTGCAGGCAGCAGGGAGGTCTCCTCCTCACTCTCAGCTTGGTGATGGGGGTGCAGGTGTGTGTGGAAAAGTTGCTTCCAGCCCCGCCAGGAGGTGTCGGGCATGAGGACCCCTCCATTCCTCAAAGGCCTCAAAGCCTGTCTCAGGAGGACACAGGGACCTGGTTTTCTGGTTTCTAAGTGGGCTCCCCATTTAAATCAGGGGCCCTTTCCTAGCTCCACAAAACCCTCCAGACCATCCCAGGCCCCAGAGTACTTCAAGCAGGCAATAGCCCCATAGCATCCGAAGTTGCTGCTCACCCAGAGAGAGGCGAGATGTGCAAGGGGGTACCGACCTTCTGGTCTGAGACAAAGCCAGATGGTGGGAGAAGGTGCTGAGAGGAAGGGAGCGGTGAGATGAGAAGGACCCAAATGGGAACACTTATGCCACAGTTCACTACGGGAATGGGGCTGTGGCTTGGCTAGGAGACAGAGGTCTGGCCTTGGATCCCCACCTCTGCTGGGGACCCTGGGCAAGAAACTTCATCCTCTAAACTTCAGAGGCCTCAGTGTGGAGTGGGTATTCACCCAGTCTCTACCTTGAGGGGCTCTGTAGGGATTAACGGAGATGATAAGGCAAGTAGCACACCAAGTCCAGGGAGGGGCACAGAAGGCCCACAGTGCTGGAGGCTGTGGCCCAGAGGGTAAGCACAGCAGTGGGCAGCACCAGGAAGAGAAGAAACCCGCCAAGACCTCCTGCACCCATCTACTCAGCAGGGCACCTGGAACAAGAAGCCTGAGGGCAGTTGCGACAGGGAAGGTGCCGCCTGGACCTGGGGCTGGTGCTGCCTGCATCCTGCCCATTCACTGGCAGGCAGGAAAGCTGCGGACAGACCTCACTCATACACCCACAGATTTCTGAAACCCAGAATGGGTCATGTAAAGGAAACACAGATCTCAAAACCAGAAACACTCTGCCCTGGGAATCTCTTAGAAGGCAGGGTTGGGGGAAGCAATGGCTGCTCAGACACTGAACAATGGTTGCTGGAGGACACCCCTGATTCTGTCTGGCCTCTGCTGGAGAGAGGCCTGGGCCCTCCCATGGCTGGAGCCTGGATTCCCGACAGGGAGGTGGGATCTGGCCACAGGGCCCAGACCCTGGGCACAGGCCTTGGGAACTAGAGTGGCTTCTAGCCTGGGCTTCTCACCTGGGAAAGAAGTTCTTGGCAGACTGGAAAATAAAATTGAAAGAAAAGGCTAAAACTAATGAGCCCATAATAACACCCGAAGAGTTAAAGCCTGGAAATCTTCATCTGTCGCCTGTGGGACAGCTGTGAGCACAACATCTTGCTTGGTCATTTAAGGCCAACACGTAAGCATTTGTTCTGCCTTTCCAGGTAGAACTTTTCAGAGTAGCCAAATAGCCCACACTGATGAGAGAAAGTGCTACTTCACAGGGGAACATCAGCTAGTAAGTGAGGAAGGAGTAAGGGAGCTAGAAAACTGCCATTTTATAACCACCAATAAAAATCCCCAGGCAAGGACAATTCAGTGGTGCCAAAGCCACTAAATAGATGTTGACAGGGCCTGACTTCTGGGAGCCACCACAGTAGGGCCCCGCAGGTGACTTGCCGGTGTGTCTGTATGGGGGGAATGTACTATAAGGAGGGGACATAGGGTGTCCCCTCCTTAACCCAGTGGTCTTTTCAATACAAACAGTTCAGGGGTTTTCTGGCACATCCTCCCCCATATGGAACCTGGCCCACGCTCCCAGCTTCCAGGTCCTGGGAAATGCAGTGAATAGATGAATTAGCTAAAGTGCAGCATGAGGAAGTGAGCAGAGCACGCCGGAGCATGAACTTTCTGTAGGACAATGACAAATCAGGGTCATGGCAGAAGGCACTCTTCTAGATTAAAGCAGATGTAGGGGTAACACACACAGGGGCTACAGGTGGTTCTAGAATGGATCCTAGTTTGGACAGACTAGCTGCAAAGGCCATTTGGGGTAACTACTGAAATTGGAAAACAGTCTGGGCATGATTACTGGGTGACGGTTCATTTGTTTAGTGTGATATAACAGGATGTGTTTAAGTAGGAAAATGTCCTTATTCTTTGAAGGTACAAGCGTAACGATTTGTATAAGGCCATGAAGCATGACACCTGTTATTTACTCCCAAATGGTTCAGTCAAAACAAAAACAAAATCCCACCCACACATAAATAGAGAGATAGAGCAATATGGCAAAATGTCAGTCAGTGATGCCTCTAGATAGAGAGCATATTGTACCTGTTCTTTCACCTCTTCTGCAGTTTGGAAATTTTTATTATACAAAATTGGGGAAAATGAGAGAGGACCATGGCAGGATTGAAGACTGTGAGGGTATTCAGCCGGCAGAGGGCACACTTGGGGGAGAGCCCGCCCGCTTTGGCTGGGGGGCTCGTGGGGGCGGGCTCCTTCTGAGGAGCTGAAGCAGGAGGCTGCTGAGCCGCTCCATGTCCAGCTTTTGTGAGGCTGGGGAGTCATGAACACCCTGTCACTAAAGGAATTTGAGTACAGGCCAGAAAACCATATCTAAAAAGGGGGCTCACCTTCTATGGGAGGACTGAAAGGAGTATCCTAAGTGAACTGCAAAAGGCTGGCGGGGGGAAGGGGGGTAGGAGCGGCAAGGGCTCAGCAGTTGGCTTCCAGAGTATTTTATAACTTCCCAGCCTCATCCTACGTGGCTGAGATGATTATGAAAATGGCATTGTATTTCCCAAGCCAACAATGCTGGAGGACAAGGAGAAAATGAATGCAGTTGGGTACTGATAATAAAATCCAACTGGGGTGAGAACGTTCTTGAAGATAAAGAAGCACTTAAATGCCATCAGGAAGGAATCTTTCTACAGATTTAGAAGGAGAGCCCAGTCTCAGTCCAATCTGCACCTGCCCAGCACACACAAACCACCCAACACAACACTGTGTAGTGGGTACACTAAGAAACGTCCCCAACTGTCCCCAGATGGAGTCAGCTAGAGCTTATTTGGTGGGTAATTGCAGGGCTGATGGCCACTTTAAAAACCGAAACCCCCTGAGCCACTGTGCCTGCGTCTAGGAATTCTTCCTCCAGAAACACAAGCTCCAGTGAGCAGAGCTCCAAGCACAAGTATGTCCACTACAGCGTCGTCGAAGCCTGGACAACCTAGTATCATCAGTGGGGCGGGCAGGGGAGTAACAGACTGTGGATGATCCTGTGACCACAGCATGGCATTTTAGGCAGCTGTTAGGAGATAAGGTAACTCTAATATATGAACATGACAAGTGTCCATGGTGAAGTGAAAATGCCAGTGGCAATGGAGGTATGATGCCATTTGCTGTGTGTGTGTGTGTGTGTGTGTGTGTGTGTGTGTCGTTAGAGGGCAGATCAAATCCTGCCCCCCATGATACACACATACCCACTGTACAGGCAGAAGAAAAAACAAATTCATATAAAGGGCAGAGTATAGTCCCCGGTCTGCAGCAAGCACTCAAGAAATGGTAGCTGTTACCAACTTCCCCTATGTGTGGCCCAGGGTGACGGGTTCAGTACATTTTTTAGCTGAATTGATTTAAAAACTGGTCCAGGGCTCAGTTGGTTAAGAGCTCGCTCAAGAGTTTGAGCTCTGAGCAACAGCGGTTCGAGTCCAGCCCGAGCTGAGCAGCCGCTGAGCTGCCAACAGGTAGCAGGATGGCTCAGCTAAAAAAATAAAAATAATAAAAATTAAAAATAAAAACTGGTCCAGCATCTGGCCCAAGCCACCTAGTCATTGCTCCCTTGGCCTGTATCTGAGCAGCCTCCTCACCGGCCCCCAACCAGTGGTTCTTTTTCAAAGTCAGTCAGTGCCCAGACCTTGGTTTCTAAACACCACTCTCCAATAAAAGGAGCCAGGGCTCCTTGTGAAAAATGACTAATTCTAGGGCTTGGGCAGGGAATATACAAGATGAGCCTGAAGCATCTTGCAGCATCAGAAAGTATGGAAGTGCTGAAAAAACATGACAGGAGTATGTCAAAAAGCCAAATGAAATAGCTCCAAAGCTAGAACAATCTGAGTAACAAAGTAACACAGTATGGGATTAGAACCTAAAGTATAAAATAAATTCCCATGAGTCCATACTGATACAAATAAATGATTAAAATAAAATGAAGGCACAAATTAAAATAAAATGAAGGCAGAAGAATTCCGAATAATTTGTGTGGCTACATTCCCCTCCAGGAGGTGGAGCTAAGTCCCCACTCCATGTGTGGGTTGCATAGTGACTTCCCTCCTAAGAGGACAGTGTGAACACTGGAAGAAGCCATGAGTTCACAGCGGAGAAACCTGACAAACGCTCCCTTAGCCAGGTGACCAAAGGCAGCATCCACTGTGATTAGTCATGTTGATAGTATGGACCCATGATATGATGTGATCAAAATGGCAATTACTTCTGTGGCCTTCCTCCCAAAACCCATAACCCGTCTAATCATGAGAAAAACATCAGACAAAACCCAATTGAGGGACTTTCTACAAAATACCTAACTAGCGCTTCTCAGAACTATCAGAGTCATCAAATCAAGGCAAGTCTAAGAGGAGCCTGAGGAGACATGACAAGTCAGTATAATGTGTTCTCCTGGGACAGGAAAAATGAAGGAAACCTGCATAAAGTATGGACTTTAGTTAATAGTAACAGATCACCACAACTAGATTGAAGAACAAAAAACGACAGCAACTTGTCTGTTCCCCTTCCCCCAATTCCCCAGCACTGTTCCCATCCCCCCAATTCCCCAATAAAAAACCTTAAAAAAATAAAAAATAAAAAATAAAAAATAACACATCAATATTGAGTCATTCATGTGACAATTGTACTGTACTAGGGGAAACTGGGTGTGGGGTATACAGGAATTCTCTGTACTAGCTTTGTAATTTTTCTGTAAATCCAAGACTTATAAAATTTATTATAAAAAAGAAAAGCCAGTTGGCTCAGTTCCTTTTCTGCTCAAAACCCTTCAAGATGTTTATCTTATTCCCCACATAAAAATTAAATATGGCTTTTACACTAAACTAAGAAGCTTACAGAGGAAGTCTTCTAGAAAGCTCTGCAGTGGCTCTCAATTCACTTTTCTTCACTCAAGGCCAAAGTTGTATGGTGCCCCCCAAGGTCATCCACCCTCTATAATTTGTCTCCCACTGCTGTTCACTCAGACCCGGCCACGCTGGTCCCCTTGAACACTCCAAGCAAGCTCCCACCTATGGGCCTTTGCAACCCACTGTGCCCTCTGCCTGGAACATTCCTTCCCCAGGGCTCTGAAAGCTCCCACACTTCCTTCAGGCCTCTGCTCACCAGAGCAGCCTTTTCCAACCCCCGACATAAACTGGCAGGATGTCAGCTGCCACCCTGCACACTCCTCCAAAGCAGTCCTCACTACTTGATATACCTGATACTCCATTACAGTCTTTTCTCCCCTGAGAATGGGGTTTCTGTGTGGGCAGGGACAGAATTGTCTCGTTCCCTGCCGTAGCTACAGCACCTGGCACATGGTGCACATTCAATAAATGCGGATGAGTCCGAGAGTGAGTGGAGCTAATTCTGCTAGAGAATGTTCTATTAGGGTGATATAGGGGTGGGCCTTGATCCTGGGTCTTCTCTGTTCCTGGAGCTAGTCCAGAGGGCCAGTGAGAAGAGGCACAGTCATGTTTGAAAGGAGACAACCTGCCTTCCTCCCCAAGGCCCACACTGACCATCACTGACCTTACCCACAGAGGGAAATCCAATCAGTGCCACACGGGCGTCGCCCGACTTCATGACATCGAAGCCCTCTCCTTTGGATGAGGCAGATTTGGATGGTTCCAGGAGCTGGGCCCGATACTTGGCAAGTTTTGCTTTCAGCAAGCCCAGGTGATATTCAGTGGCTGAAGGACGATAAGCAAGATGGAAGGTAAGTGTCCAAAGTATCCAAGCCTGTGGGTCACGGGGGGCCACACATACAACCAAGTGCTAGCCAGGAATATCAGAACCAGCTGGCAATCACTGTCAAGGAGATCAGGAAAGAAAATGCCAGCCCTCTGCTTAAAATGCACCATTGGTTTCTCATTTCATCTAGAATAAAAGCTAGTCTCCTTACTGAGAGATCTCGAGGCCCCAAGTCAGTGGTTCTCAGCCGGGGCAGCACCACTCCTGGGAGCATTCTGGAAATTCCCAGGGATGTTTTCCTCTGTCCCTCTGATTGTGAAGGCCTCATAGGCATTTAGTAGGTAGGCCCAGGGAAGCCAACTGCCTTACAAGGTATAGTCAGTCCAGCACAGCCCAGAATTGTCCTGTGTCCCACCTGACTTTTCATATCCCCGAGACATCCAGAGGGAAAACCTGGGTTAGGATCACAGGGGCCTAGAACCTGTTTCACATGAAAACACAGGGTATTTTTTGCAGTGTGAATAAATGCTGAAATTTCCAGGAATGCAACTCCTGTGTATGTTCAGGGAAGGCAATGGCATGTTTTGTTTGAAACTACCTAGAGCTGCTCACCGTCTTGGGATCCCAGGCCGACAACGGTGACACCTCTTGTAGAGGACCCAAGGCACCAGTACAACACACGTACGCTGGTCTGCGTGGTGGCTGCCACTCCCCAGCGATTCTACTCTGAGGCACAAGCATCTCACTACTTCACTGTAACTTCATTACATCTTGGTTGTGGCCCAGCATTTGCATATTGAAATACACACTATTTTTATTATAAATTACTTTCCTTTTTCTTCTCCTTTATATTACTATTAGGGTTTTATATTCATATAGTTCAAATTCTATGTGTACAAAAGTTTACTATTGATGGAGAATTGATTTCAGGACAGTAAAGGTGGTATTACAAAATCTTCGCTATAAAAGGAGGCGGTGGTTGAGAGTGCGAAGCGGGGCCCTAGGTGACCTGGTCCCTGACTACTTCCCCAGCAATATCTCTTACCACTCTCGCTTTTATTTACTACATTCCAGCCACAGTGGATTTCTTTTTGTTTCTTTAGAACATGCTGACCCTATTCCTGCCTCAGAACTTTGCATTTTCTGTTCCTTCTGTTTCAATCTTATCTTCCCAGGGCTTGTTCCTTCTCAAAGAGGCCTCCCCTAACTGTCCTTGGGGGACAGTGTCATGCAGAGGTTAAGAGCCCGTGTTGGAATCCCACCTTGCCACCATTGGCCATTTTACTTTGGGTAAGTTACTTAATCTTCTTGTGCATCAGTTTCTTAACCTGCAAAATAGGGGTGTTAACAATAACTACTTAATTGGATTTCTGTAAGGCTTAAAGAAAGCACTAAGAATAATGACTAGCACATAGTAAGCACCCAATAAAAGTCGGTTATTATTACTATCTACAGTAACCCCGCCTCTCCCCAGGCCCCTCTCTGCATCATGGTCCTGATTTTTGTTTTCATGGTTCTTATCACTATTTGAGACTATCTTGTTTCTTTAGTTCCCTCCCTCTCATAGGGCAGGACTGGGACAATCACAGTTGTATTCCCCAGCTTCCAATACAGGGCAGGTGTTCGGGAAATGTTTTAGCAAATGAATAAGTGAATTGGTGACAGTGAGAAATCATCAAGAATGGGTTCAGCAACAGTCAGGTTCCCATGGTCCTTCCTGTCATCCCAGCTCATGAGATTCTGAGCATCTCCAAAAGGAAGGACTACGTCTTAATCGCCTCTACATTCCCCTTTTCTACCGCTGTCAAAGTGGCAGCATCTCTAGCCTCCTCTAAGCCTCCCTGCTACTTTCCTTGAGTCCTGTAGATGATACTCCACAGGGAAGCCAGAGGAAACTTTTAAAACAGAAACCAGACTCTGTCTCTCTGGCTTAACACTGTCTTCTACTAGCTCCTACTGCCCTTAGAACACAACCCAGACTCCTTCCCAGAACCTACAAGGCCCTACATGATTAGCCCTCTCCTTTCCTATCACTGCTCTCCAGGCCCAGACCTTCTGATCCATAAACACACCAAGTTTGTTCCTGCCTCAGGGCCTTTGCACCAGCTGTTCCCTCTGCCAGGAACAGTTTCCCCCCAGATTTTTACATAGCTGGTTCCATCTTCTCATTCTGATTTTGGCTCAAATGTCCCCTTCTCATGGTGGTCTTTTCTGATCATTCCACCTTAGTAGGCCCAGCCCCACCCCAAACACCCTGCTGTATCACCCTGGTTTGTCTTCACAGAATTTTTTGCTGTCTTGTTTATTTGGTTACTAATTTACAGGCTATCCACTAGAAGGTCAGCTCCATTAGGGCAGGGATGTGCCTGCTGTGTACACTACTTTAACCACAGTGCCTAGCACATAGTAAGGGCTCAATAAAGATTTATGGCATGCACGAATGATAGAAGCCCCTGAACACCTCAGCCTTCAGAACTAAATGGAGCCAAGAAGGACAGACACTGAAACCAGCCACCTTGCATTCCTTGCTTCCTGCTCTTATAACCCCACAACAGGTCTGGCCAATCACGGGGCCTCACCCACCTTGGCCAGTCGCATCCCCCATTACTCCAGATCCTCCTTCTGATCTAGAATGTTCTCCTAACTGTCCCATGAACACAGCATGCTCACCTAGGCTCCCATGCCTTTGCCTCAGCAGTGCCCTTCACCTGGAATACCCTCCCTCTACCAGCTCAAGCTCCACCTCCTCCTGGAAGCCTTCTTAGGTGTCACCATTCTTCTCTCCTCACCTCTCTTTTCTGATCTCTTCCAGCCCTTACAATCCCAAGTCCAGATTTGATGCTTCATTATTCGTATGTTCTATCTATGCTGGGAGGTTTACCTTAAATGCTGAGTGCTCTTCATGTGCCTAGCGCTCTGCATATGCTATCTAGTTTAACTCAGCTGTGAGCTAAGATGGGGCAGGGGATTATTATCCTCATTTGAAGATGAGGACACTGAGGCTCAAAGAGGTAAAGTGACTTTCCAAGGTTTCACAGCAGGTAAGTGGTGGGGCCAGGGTTCAAAGTTAGATCCACCAGCCTCCAGAGTCCTGATTGCCTCCACTACTCCACCCAGGGTTTCCCGGCTGCTGAGCGAGGGTGTATCTGTGTGAGGTCTCCTCCGGACTTCTCAGCACAAAGGGAGGGGTACTCATCCTGCCTCGGCACTCATCCCGCACTACTCCGCGGCCTTCGAGCCGGCTCCAGCTCTACCGTTGAACAACATCCCCCCCCCCCCTTAACAGACAGGAAAACTGGGGCGGACAGAAAGGAAGGAAGGCCCCTCTGAGCCGGCCCTCACCCTTGTTCTTCTGCGTCCGAGCGATCTCTTTCTCGATCTCGGATATCTTCTCCAGGATCCCCATGGTGTGGCTGAGCTGGGCGCACCGACAGAGACAGCAACAGCTCCAGAAATTCCGGCCTGGCGGCGGCGGCGGAACAACCTGCACCCGGAAGCCCACGGATAACAGCGTCCTCGGGCTCCTGGCGCTCCGACATTCAGAGTCCGAGCGGGCAACGCCGAGCGGAGTGCCAGACACAATTGGTTCCGTCCTCAGGGCGGGCGGGGCTGGGAGCGGTAAGGCAGAGAGGCTCGGGCCGGGCTAGGTCGGGCAGGGGCGGGGTCGTGCTGGACCAAGGCTAAGATGGGTAAGAAGAGTAGGGCGTAGGAGCCAGACAGGGAATCTTAGGTGATGAACCCTGAACTGAGGGTCGCGAGCGTAGTTGACTTAGCGGGTGTAAAGAAAAGTCGCTGAGGTGGTTCTTATTTTGCGTAGAGGTTAAAAGCGGGTCCCCATTACCACATTAACCGAGTGTTCCAACTTAATGTTACTATCTGCCATCAGATACTTCCTGATATGATGCAATGTAAAGTAGACAACATCTCTTAAGTGGAATTCTCGCCCAAAAATACTGTATCTGAGTTTAGACACGAGGAAACATTAGAGAAATCTAGAAAGTGGTACATTTTATTAGACAAATGGCCTGGGCTCTTCAAAGTTGTAAATGAGGGGAGCGTGGGGGGGGGAGCAGGGGCATTGTTCTAGATTAAAAAGTGTTATATAATGGGTGGACGGACCTTGCTTAGATTCTGGTTGAAAAATTTTAAAGCCTCTATAAAAACGATATTCTTAGGACAATTGGTGAAAATTTGACTTTGGATAGGATATTAGATATTATGGAGTAATTGCTAATTTTCCTGGGTGTGATGATGTAGGAGAATGTCTTTATTCTTAGCAGATGTATGCTGTGGTATTTAGTGGTTGTCTTAGTCTGCTCAGGCTGCCATAGCAAAATACCACACAGTGGGTGGTTTAACAACAGAAATTAATTTTCTCACAGTTCTGGAGGCTGGAAGTCCGAGATGAAGGTGCTTCCTGTGGTTTGGTTCTGGTGGGAGCTCTCCTCCTGGCTTGCAGACTGCCGCTTTCTTGCTGTGCATCCTTACATGGCTTTTCCTCCATGAGTGTGTGCAGGAAGGGAGAGACAGAGAAGTGTGTGCAGGAAGGGAGAGACAGAGAAAGATAACTCTCTGGCGTCCCTTCTTATAAGGGTACTCCCATTATGAGAACACCACCTCACGACCTCATCTGCTCCTAATAACTTCTCAAAGACCCATTTCCAAATACCATCATATTGGGAGTAACGGCTTCAATTTATGAATTTGGGTAGAAGGGAGACACAAACATTCAGTCCATAACAGGGGTTAAAGAAAGTTCATGATGTCTATATCTTACTTTCAATTAGTTCAAAATAGTAGAAAGCAAGCTAAAGTATGTAGCAATATGTTAACAGTTGTTGAACTTGGGGGAAGGGTACATGGGTATGTATTGAATTATTCTTTCAACTCCTCTATATGTTTTTAATAAAAAGTTAATGGGGGAGTAGGTCCTTGAAAGTTATATTATGTGTTTAACATTCATAACTGTGTTAGCTTGGTTAAATTTCTTAGCCTCTCTGAGCCTGTTTCTACGTCCTAAAAATGGGGTAACATGGTTGCTATAAAAATGAAATAAGATAATTGATATAGGGCACCTGGCACATAGTTTACTTGCTCATAGCTCTCTTTGAAGTCCCAGCCATTGTAAGTCATTTCTCATTTTTGGTTCTCACATTAGTCCTCAGATTCAACCCACATTTATTCAACCCAGGTTCTGGGCTAAGTAGGGGCTTTTGTAAGCTTTGATGAGCTTGCCATTCTCATCCACATTTTACAAATTGAGGCTACAAGACATACAGAGTGCCTGGCCTGGTGGCTAAGCTGTTCAATCAGCAGAACTTTCAATTCCACGTCCAGTGACCCCCAAGTAACATGGTAGGCTATGGATAGGAATGTCTACATATAAGGTTTCTGTAAGGTTTAAAGAAGATGATATGAAAGCCCTTTGGGAACTAGGGTGGTCCATGCAAATGTGGAGGCTTGCAAGAGCCCTGGCCCAGGAGTGGTCTCTAACTCCTCTCTGCCTCCACATTTTATGACATGGCTCCCTGGTCTCCATGTACTGCCACACTTATGTCCACAGGGGTGTGTTCACTTCTGGTTTATGTTTGAGGAAACAGAAGCTTTCTGGAATATGATTCAACATCCCAGAGTCTGGGCATCTCTGCTGTTTTGTCTGCTTCAGTTGCAATCGCTAGTTTCTTCACAAGTAATGTGCAAATCATGCCTACTTCAACGGTCAAGGGAGATAACCTGCATATCAGGCTTTCTCTAGGCAACTGGCCTTTCCCACTTGAAAGGCCTGGGTCCTCCAATCCCAAACCACAAATGAACTTTGCTTGTTCATGCTACCCAAGGAATCTTTGAGATACAGTTTACAAACTTCTGAGGAGGCTGCTTTTGATTTGTGTATCAGAAGACACAGTAGTCTCCCCTTATCTGCCAGGGTGGTTTCAGTCACCCTGGACAACCGCAGTCCAAAAATACGTATTAAATGGAAAATTCCAGAAATAAACAATTCATAAGTTTTAAATTGTGCACCATTCTGAATAGTGTGATGAAATCTCACACCATCCTGCCCAGATGTAAATTACCCCTTTGTCCATAGTATCCGCACCATATACGTGCCCGTTAGTCACTTAGTGGCAGTCTCAGTTGTCAGATGCACAGTTGTGGTATCTCAGTGCTTGTGTTCCAGTAAGTCTTATTTTCCTTAATAATGACCCAGAGTGCAAGAGTAGTGATGCTGGCAATTTGAATATGCCAAAGAGAAGCCACCTTCCTTTAGGTGAAAAGGTATGTATGCATAGGAAAAAACATAGTATACATAGGGCTCAGTAACATCTGCAGTTTCAGGCATCCACTGGGGGTCTTGGTATGTTTCCTCCATGGATAAGAGGGGTGGGAATGACTATACTATCAACGGAGTGAAAAGGCAACCCGTGAAATGAGAGAAAATATTTGTAAATTATATATCTGATAAGGGGTTAATATCCAGAATATATAAAGGCCTACAAGTCAACAACAACAAAACAATTCAATTTTTAAAATGTACAAAGGGGACTGGCCAAGTGGCTCATTTGGTTAAGAGCTTACTCAAGGGTGCGAGCTCTGAGCAACAGGATCACTGGTTCTATTCCCACATGGGCCAGTGAGCTGCACCTGAGCAGAGCTGCTGCTGAGCTGCCAACAGGTGGCAGGATAGCTCAGGTGGTGAGACCATGTGCTCCTAACAACAAGGTTGCCTGTTCCAGATGGTGGGCTATGCCCGCCCGCAACTAAAGACTGAACTCGGCACCTTGAGCTGAGCAATGCAACTGGACTTGGAGCTGAGCTTGCTGCGTCCTCCACAACTAAGATTGAAGGACAACAACTTGGCTGCTCCCCTTCCCCAATTCCCCAACACTGTTCCCCTCCCCCAATTCTCCAATAAAAATCTTAAAAAAATAAAATAAAATATACGGAGGACTTGAATAGATGTTTCTCCAAAGAGGAATAAATGGCCAATAAGCACATGAAAAGATGCTCAACATCACTACTAATTAGAGAAATGCAAATCAAAATCACAGTAAGATAATCACTTTACACTCATTAGGATGCCTATTATTAAAACAACAACAGCAGCAGCAGCAGCAACAACAACAAAAAACCCCAGAAACTAAGTTTTGGTGAGGATGTGAAGAAATTGTGCACTGCTGGTGGGAATGGAAAATGGTACAGCTGCTATGGAAGAAAATATGGAGATTCTTTAAAAAATTAAAAATAGAATTACCATATGATCCAGTAATTCCACTTCCAAGTATATACCCAAAAGAATTGAAAGCAGGGTCTCAAAGAGATATTTGTACACCCATGATCATAGCAGCATTATCCACAATAGCGAAAGGTGGAAGCAACCCAAGTGTTGATGAATAAATGGATGAAAAATGTGGTATATACATTCAGTGGAATATTATTCAGCTTTAAAAAGGAAGGAAATTCTGACACATACTAAGTGAAATAAGCCAGTAATAAAGAACAAATACTGTATGATTCCATTTATATGATGTACCTAGAGTCATCAAATTGATAGAGACAGAAAGTAGATTAGAGGTTACCAGGGCCTGGGGTAGGGAGGAGGATGAGTTAGTGTTTAATGAGGACAGAATTTCTGTTTGGGATGATGAGAAATTTCTGGAGATGGATGGTGGTGATGGTTGCACAACAATGTGAATGTACTTAACACCACTGAATTGTCACTTAAAAATGGTTAGAGTGGTAAACTTTATATTATACATATTTTACCACAATAAAAAAATCCTCATTAAATATGATGGTATAAAATAATTTGCCAAAGAAAAAAAAATACCCCAAAACCTTTTGACCACTTTTCTGAGTGATTTTCTATTTATTTGCTTTCCCTATACAGCCAAAAGCTGCAAGTTGCCTGTTCTCACTCTCTCTGCTTTCTCCTCCCTTCTCTCCTAAACCTGCTATGATCCCAATTTGCCCCTACCATTCATTCCATGGGAGCCTCTCTCATCAAGGTCAGAAGTGACCTTCACATAGCTGTACCCATGGTCAACCCTCAGCATCATCAGCATAGTCACTGACATAGTCTTCCTTCTGAAGGCACTGCTGTCACATATCCTTCAGGACACCAGCTCACTGGCCCACCTCTGGCCTCATTGGCTGTCTCTTCCATCTCCATTGCTGGTTCCTCCTCTTGTCCATGAGCTTCTCATGTTGGAGAGCCCCTCTGTCTACCTGCACCCTTTGGGTAATCTCATCCCATCTAATGGGTTGAAATAACCCATCTAGATGCTGACAGCTGTCAACCATGTATCTCCAGTCCAGAACTTTGTCCTGAATTTCAGATCCATATATCCATCACCACTCGAAAGTCTATTCTGTATATATCTCAGACTTAACATGTCCTATTCTTCCTCTCAGACCTGTGCCATTCACAGCTATTGGCCTTCAGAACTGACCCATTTTTTATCAAATTGATTTCCCTGTCCTCTGGGCACCCATTCCCCCACATTCCCCGCCTCCGCCCTCTTGCAGTTGGGTGTGGCCATGTGAATGGGC